GTCATTTCCTATTTGCAGAAACGTCTATCTTCTTGGTTTATACCATCATCTCTCATGCTGCATTCAACTGCCATTATATGTATCTGACAAAACCAAAAGCCAAATGATGGGGAAAAAATACCAAAATGTTCACTCAGAAATATTGAATCCTTATTACATGGCTTTGTTCCAGCATTCTACGGTCTCATATTTCTAGATAACAGCCCACTGCTGGACTCAGTTCTGACCATAGGCTCTGAAGGACCACAGTGGAAGCATTACAATCATTTTTAAATTGAGAAATCATTTTAAAATGATATATATATAATATTCTTTCGCAAGTAATAAGCAGGATAATGTACAGGGAGAGGGTCATTATTGTACAATATCCCTTACGTGTTTGCCAGACTTCCTACTGTAACTAACATTTGCTTAAAGTTGTTAAATTATGTTTTTTAAGCAGCAGGGCATGTTTGTTTACCCAGCACTAATATAAAGTGCATCTGGTTTGACACTGTCTGCTGCATATTAACCGTCTCATCTGGTGTCGGTATTACCTCTACCCAGTGACTGCTGGAATGCAGTGTCCAACTCCCCACCTGCCAGCTCCAAAGCCTCGCTTTTAATAGAGCAGAAATAACTCATCTGGAACAATAAACAAACTATAAATATAATTTTTCCAAATAAAAGAATCCTGGATAAACACGTAGCAGCTGATGTGAATAATTTTCGATGTTTATATTTTGAGAAAAATTAGCGTAAAAGCTTTAAAATTGCCCTTGCAACTAATGGAAACAGACATTAATATGCATACAGAAATGCATATCATTAATTATTTTTTGGTAGTTGTGTGCTGGCCATAATGTCTAACCTCTTTGAGAGGTAGATTTGGCATCTGCCGTCACCCAGAAACAGGAAATCTGACCTGTACTTCCTGAACAAATGAGAGGAAATCGCTCAATGTGACTGAAACAAGCACTCTCTTCACTGTTACCAACAGCAACAAAAAGCCTTGTCTATGTGTCCGAGAGCTCATTTCTCAACATGACCTCTCGCCCTGGACATCTAAGTGTCTCAGTAACTCTCCAAATCTGGTTAGTGGGCAGACAGACCAGTGACAGACTGAGCCACACTATCTCTGTCAGGGGACTCAGTGACTCACCATGTGTACACACACACACACACAGTCTCAAGACAACAGGACAGACTTGCACACTCTTATTAGTCTACACACAAGCTGTATAACAACACAGACATAAGGTCAGTGAGTGAGAAATCAGGGTGTGGCTGCAAGTCCCAGACACATCGAGGTCAAATATGGGTGGACAAAAGGCCACGGGGGGAGCTCTATCAACACAGTAACACTCCTGTCCAAAGGATATGGCTTGGAGTGTTGCTAGCACACACATGCACACACATTCACCACACTTTAAGATAAAGCCTTCACTGTAGGCCAGCACTTCAGCTCTCATTGGTCTCATGACTCAAGCCTCTCAACATAGAAAAAGTCCCTTGTGCTGTTGTGAGGAGCAATATTTTGTGTACCCGACTATGGATTTCAGTTAGGAGGCACATAAAACATCACAAAACTTAAATTCTTTATGGACAGCACATTATAATTTCTGTGACATGAGGTTTTTTCTTGTCTTAAATACTACAGGGAGTCAACATTGATACCAAGTGGCGCGACAGGAAATTAATCTAATTAATGGCCCACTTTTGAAATAACATACCTTTTAATCCTTTGAGCTGGGGGAGGAGGTATCAAGTATTTTCAATCAAAAGGCCTAAGTCCAAGTGAAGTCACGAGTCATTGGTGTTAAAGTCCAAGTCAACTTGCATGTCTGTTTTAATTTTGTCAAGTTGAGTCTAAAGTCATCAAAGTTGTGACTCGAGTATAACTTGAGTCCAAGTCCTGTGACTTGTCTCCACACTTCTTCCAAATAACACTCTGAATGGGACAACTTTGCATAATGAGTAGTTTTACTTCTGATTACTTTTTCTGATGATACTTCTGTACAGAAGGCAGTACTACAGTACAACACAATAACTTTGCACTGAGTCATGAGCACACTGGCTTCAACTCCTTTAAAAATCTGACATAAGGACTCAAACCCTCTCAGTATCTTTCATTCCCTCTTATTGTGGCTCTTGCTCTCTCCTCATTTCTTTGTCCCTTTCTTCCTCTTTTCTTCACAAAGTAAGTGTGTCCAATTTCAACTCAGGCTTTTTACTCTGGCTGAAGAGGGTACGGCAGTACAGGACAAGCAGTTTGATATCCACTAAAGAGAATATTGCCTCCACTCAGCTCACTCAGCCCACCCAGACAAACAAGCAGCATTGCCTATTTAGGAGTAGTGAGCTGGTGCTGGTGAGAGTGCTGTTTCATGTGTTTTATCAAATCAGTCATCTACACTCAGACACACCCTCCCTCCCTCCCTCCCTCTGTCTCTGTGTCTGTCTCTGTGTCTGTCTCTGTGTCTGTCTCTGTTTCTCTCTGCTCCATTTGCAAGAACCAAATAAATGATGGGACTGTCTTCTCAACAAAAGTCTCTGCCTAAATAAACTGCAGGCATCAAATCTCCCAGTCACCAAATGTCCTGCTGGCCTGATGAAGAGGAGGCCCCACAGACACACATACATAGAACAGCTCCACTGAAGATCGATATAAATTATACACTACATATCAGGCATTATAAATGAATAATCTGTAACTGTGCTGTTGTATTTGTACACTGCTTTTGTGCTGATTCTACATTAAAAATTAAAAATAAAAAGACTTCTGAGATCCATGTGACTTATGTCTTAAAAGTGATTTATAAATTGCTGCAATGAAGAAAAAGCTCAAGGCCTTTTCAAGTTGAAATGGTGTTTAATTTATTACTCAGTGAAGTACAACGTTTTTATGGGCTTTGAAGGATGGTGAAGTCATATTGGAGCCACAAGGAGGTCCAGTGTGCCAGAGGAAGGGCCTTAATCTCCAAGTCTCTTTAATGACATCATGCATTTGGTTTGGCAGCTGCCCAAACAAGAAGGGAGGAGAAGGAAAGCTGATGTATGTTTTAACAGTTTCAAGCTACACATGGTACACATGGTACCTCTGGGCTCTGCTGTTCATTATACAGCTATAGATCTGATGGAATCCAATACAGTAGTCCTGCAACCAGTATTACATGTTTGTACTTGATATTACAGCATGTATGAGGGAGGGGTCGTCAAAATATTAGATACAGTTAACATTATAACACAGTTCAACATATAAAATATATATATATATATTGTTGATGCATTAACATGTAAGCTCTAATTTAATGTTTAACTGCTTTATACACTGGTGGTTTTTATATTATTCATATATATTTATCTCTAAATCATGTTGGAGTATAAGCCTAAAGTAGCATGTAAATACTTAATTACCTCAAAACTGTACGTAAGTACAGTGCTTGAGTGAATGTACTTTCCACTACTGTTGGTTATTATGAACCACAGACAAAAGTTTATTTCTGAAATAAAAAGGTCCTAAAACTAACTTGTTCCAAACAAACAAACATGTCCATGGACATATAGAGATATGGGCAGATAGACTGTCCACAATATGTGCCATTGCAGTGCCGAACAAAGCGCATCACCTGTTGCGCGCAGCAGCACCGTTCCCGACGTGGTCAGGTGGACTGAAATACTAAAAAGAAATCGGTCGCACATTTTAATATTCTTCAGCAGGACCTTCTGTGAAACTGAGGATGTAACCATTTCAAATGATTTCGGAAAATTTCATGCGATAAGATAACGGCTGCAATTACGCATCTGACATAACGGTCCTTAAATGGACCAAATAACGGATAAACCTCTAATGAAGCACTTAAACATCATCTGCAGTGACCTGAGCCGGCTGCCTGATAATCTGAGTTAAAACACAGCTGTGGGTTTTTTGGACTCACCTCTCAAAAAAGGCGAACAGATGAGCGTCTCTCACTCTGTCAGCAGCAGTGTCCGGTGGCTTTGGCCGAGAGGTAAAATCTGCGCAGGCAGCGCAGCTTTAAAAGACAGGGGGAGCAGAGGGGAAAAAAAAGTGCAGGACATGAGCCAAACCTCTGTAAGCTCTCATAAACAATGACCTCAACTAGGAATTTACAAGATCTCTTAGTAAAGTTCTCACTGGCGCTGCGCTCCGAGCAAACGGGGATCGGGAAGAAAATAAAGTCATAACTTTTGTGCATCCACGAGCGCAGAGACTTTACAACCACCTTATTGTGCTAGAGGCAGCTCTATCTCTGCAAGGGATCCCCGCTCATGGTGTCACTCTTCCCCACAACGTTTGCAACATTTGCTGCTGTTTATAAGATGGACTGACTTCTCAAGTTGACACACTTTTGTCCTACTTTCTGTGTCAGCCTCACTCGTCTCCTTCTTTGGTAATGACTAGAGGAGTTACATCAAGATGACTCATTTCTTAACCCAAAGTAAATACTTGCAGCCTGTAAACCTAACCCACAAAGTGAATCCATTACAATTACAAATCGATGATGAAATGCCCCGAAAGATGTTCCTGTTACATAACGCGGATGCCAGCTTTTATACCATCTGTGTCACTGAGACTAAACAGATATTTGCATCTTCATTTGAGCTCCATCCAGAGGGATAAACATCCAACTCTAAGCCTAGGGAAAAGGTATGATAGGGAGGATGCATTTGTCTGTACAGTCAGGATGAAGATAAGAGGATATTAAGATCATAAGTTGCATCTATATTATGGCCTCTTATGAACTGCAGTTCCCATTTCCAGCATTAAATGTGTTTTCTTCTTGAGATGTGTTTACTGTGCACACTTGGAAGAGTAATAGTAGTAGTTATGGAAGGGGCATTTCACTAAACAAACAAGGATCTAGTATTTACTGCAGGAATTCAAATGCAACAGAAGGTATGCAGCATAAAATGACTTGATCTGTTTTTGTTCTAGAACAGTCAAAAAAGTTTTTATAACACCTAAAAAAACTCCACTGGAGTGGGAAACTTTTTGACTTGATTTACCAGTATACAGTTTAACTTGAAAAACAGCAAATCTCAGTACCTGGTGGAATAATCAATAAGTAATTTATTATGATCAACAACATTAATACTTTTGTGGAGCGAGTGGAAATCAGACATTTCAGTTGGGAGACAGATATCTGCTCGAGCCGAAGCTAAGTGGCCCTTTAAAAGTACTATTTCCTCCCTGGACTCTAACTCCATTATACAGACATTCTTGAGCAGACTGGAGGGAGTTGTGCCCATATTAGGAGCACATTACCTGATATCTGGCACAAATCGTGCCTGGAAGAATAAAATGCCATCAAGCTTGGCTGTGCAGGGTGCGGCTTTCATATTAATGCCACTCTGCACCTTTATCCTGAACAAATTATGTTTTTTCTTTGTTGTCTGGTTCATTTAATCATTTACAACGTGACAGAAAACTGGTGGCTCAATTCATGATCATTTGTAGGCTCGGTGAGTGTTTGATCAAATTGGGAGAATGAGATGTAAATATTAGATGAGAAGATGAGCAAAGGGCACATCTCCCAAGGTGCCTTAGGATTCAACTTTCTTTTAAATTAATGTATTCAATAAATACAGCATGAGTCTTTTAGTTCTCACATCACACAATAGAGACAGTTTGACAGATCCAGAGTCCCAGAGTTTACAAGGAATAACCCATGTACACCTATCAATAATTAATCTCTGTTATTCGATTGGAGGGCAAGTGACTTAGACATGCAGAATTTTAGTCCCAGTGTTTGCACATTAGAGCAGTGATTTCCAACCTTCTAACAGTGAACTGAACAGTGTTTACCTGTGAAACATCGTAGGTTGGATACGTCTACAGGTTCAACCAAAAAGTGTTTTTATTACTTCTTAGGTTGTTTTTGTTGAACTTTTAGAGAATTGAAGAGGTAAAACTATCCAGTGTCCCATTAGAAAAAGTAAAGTCTGCAAAATAAACCAATTTTAGAGCAGAAATACTGTATATTTTTTTCCTTACTCCTTTCCTGCTTATCTCACAGGTTTATCTTTTGACCCTTCGGTGGGACCTGTACCCCCAAGTTTGGAACCTTTGTAGAACCCCACTTTAGACCAGGACCAGCCAGCCCCAGTCTAAAGTTGACCTTATTGCACTGGAATATTTGACAATCTCTTAATAGCTTGTAAGCTTGGGCTACCTGCCATATTTCAAGGCTATGAAGATTAAAAACCTGTTCTCAGCGTAAGGTGAAAATCCCTTTTTAGATTTATGCAGCTCAAACAAAATCACGTCTGGCACTAATCTTCTTTCATACTTCTTGTGGACGGGATGATACATTCTTACACAAATCAGACATCCAATAAAAGAGGAAACAAGGTAAATGAGGAGGCCATTAGAACGAGGGTTTAAATCAAAAGCACAGGCTTCTGTTTATTGACGGCTGCACGCACATGAAACAGGTGAGAGTATGTTTACGCAGATGTAAACAGTTGGTACCTGCAACACAGAGGAAGAGACAGAGAACACAATGTCTCCCCTATCTTTTCTCTCGCGCACACACACACACGCGCACACACAGAATTTGCAGTAGAAAGATAGAGTGGACTGTCTGAAAACACAAAGCACAGCAGGCCTCTTTGGTCAGCTACTTCAGACAAGGTTTCCAATGATCAAAGCCTATCACGAGTCACCATTCAGAGAACAGAGAGAGAACACAAACTGGCAGAGCAGTACGCAAACACCAAAACCTATATCAGCTTTTGCAGATTTCACATAATTTAATGTGTCAGTTGAAGAACAGTGGCACACAATTCTGCTTTTATATATATATTTATATATATTTTTTTTTTTCACCATTTCAGCGGAAGATGATGATTCATGCTCTGTAGAAGTCATGGCAACAGCATTCAGACAGACATACAAAGTAACTGAAAGGTGAAGTGATAAGATGGAACAACAGTATGAAAGGACTTAACCTTCTCCACTGCCACTGCAAAGTAGAATTCATAGTAACATCAACGAACCAACTTAACTTTTACTGAACATTAAAGCAAGATTCATTAAACTGACATGAATTAGACATTCATGTGACATTTTTCCACAAACTTCCAAAACATAAAAAAGTAAATAACATAAAAGCAGCTGTTAGATAAAACAATCATAGCAATATATATAACAGTAAAACATTCTCAATGGATGAGTGCAAATTACTTTTTACTTCATTGTTTCCCTTCTACAAAATAAAATTCAGTAACAACAACAAATGAAAAGTATAAAATGGTGGAAAGAATGAATCATTTCCTGGACAATGTGGTGTCAAGAGGCATGCCTAATTAAAATTGAATTTTTTTTTTTAACACTTTCAGTTAGAAGTTCCTGCACAGCAGAAGATAACTGTGAAAGGAAAAGCAATATCTAAAAGCCTGCTCTTCCTTCCATCTCTGTATCATCCCCAACACACCAACACACACACACACACCAACAGTATCCTTCCACATCCATCCCTTTCTTTTAACATCTATTTCTTGAACCACATTATCATCCCCTTGCACACACCACTGTTTTTTCATGGAGGATGAACCACTAAACTGTTCTACTAAGTCACCATGTTCACGGATGTTTTCTGGCTTCTGGCCACATCAACACACACCCTGTCAGCGCTTCCTGTTAAACCTGCATTAACAGCTGCTATCCTCGCCACACAAAGGAAATCACTAAACCTTCCTTCCACACTGAAATAAGACTACAAGTTTAATGTAACACATCCATCCAAGAGTACCCTCCTAAAAGTGTGTAGTTTTCATGCATCTAAATAACGCATTAGTTTAATGCTGTTAAACTCCAGGTTTTTCCATCAAACACCCAGGAACCCCATTATGTACAGCAGTGGAACAAATGTCCAGCATGTAAACAACTATTGTTGTTCTTTTCTGGCAATTCTCATATGATGAACTGCCACAGTACCAACCGAAATATCTGCTCATATCAGGAATAAATTGATTAGAGTAATCATCAGGTGGCCTTTCCTGTCTTAGTCACTGGTTTATGGACCTCAGTGTATAAAATATATTTGCTCTTTTCTTTTTTAGTCTTCCATGATTATAAAGTGAATATCTTTGGGTTT